CCACTTCCTTCCGCAGTTTCCTCCTCTCCCCTCTCGCGAGGTGATTACCATCACATACAAGTTCCTAACGCTCCTATTCGGAAGCAAAGGATTCTCTGTATGCTTTCTCCTGGCTAGGCGCATACGTCTCATTCCTGCTGAGGGCTATTGGTTTCTCTTCACAAAGCACCCGCCATAGCCTGACCAGCGAAACAGCCTGTGGCAGAAGGCGGACCTGACAGTTGCTTGTGGCATTCAAAAAATGRCAAACACCACGGACGAGTCCTTCACGRAAGCRGAAATTAACGCTCACGCGGTAAGACAAATGTTCCTCCCTCCCCCTCGCTTGTTTGATCACCTATTTGCTATCCCAATTCTTCCCCTCCCCCTGCTTTGTGCCCCCGTCCTACCCTCCACACTTCCCTCCTTGAAAAAGATCTGTGTTGGATTGAAACTGCTTCTGCGACGATTGTGTCAACCGAAGAGACGGATGTCCAATCTTAAGTTCTCTCCTTCTCTCCCCCCTTCCTCTCACCTTCTCTCTCGCCCCCTCACCTTCCATACCCCCTTCTTTCTTCTTTCTTGGTAAGGATCCGTAGGAGATTGACGCTCCTTCGATGACAATCGGGTCACTCGAAGATACGGAAATCCAGCTGCTTGATCCAGCCCCTTCACCCTCTGATGAGCCATCCTCCGACGCGGATGGCGAAAAGTGCTTAAGGGGACGCGCCACCCCCTCCTTCCCCTTGCTGATGACTATATCGCAAATCTTGAAGGACCTTTTCTATTCCCATCCCCCCTCCTCCTTTCCCCCCCCCCCTCTCTTTCCCCCTCATCATTCTCTTGCTTGGATTTTGTCTGACATGTTATGGTCACTGGCTGCTGGCTATTTGCTGTATTGGAATCGAGCTTTTTTGGCTAACGATGGTACCGTTCCCAACTAAATGGGTTGTCGATGCTCTGAGCATTTGTTTTTCTTACACACATACAGGCGGTCTCGCCATGATACAATAGTTGGGGTAGATTCCCCACTAAATGGTACAATTTCGTATGCCACCTCCTCTTCCATATTGCTAATAGTATGTTAAAATGCCTACCCACACATGGTTTAGACCCCTACTTTCTTCTGATACCTTCCCCCTCTGCCATAACTGGCAACTCCCCTTTTTTTTCCCCCCCTCCCTCCTGTTTCGTTTCTTATCCCCCCCCTGTCTTTCGCTCTCATTTTCAATGACCTCCCACGCTTGCCACTGCCTCCCTCTCCCTCCCTCCTTTTTGGTTTCACCCCCTGTCCTACCCCGTCGTGTTCCTCCTCTCTTACCTTGCACCAATTTTTGAATCAACTCCTAGAAAGAGTGTAAATACATAATCAGGCCCCCTGTACATACGGATTTGTTGCTTCTAAACACCCCTTGGTTCATGAACCCCACCCAGTATTCCTCGGAACAGGCAAACTGTTCCAAGTGTACGCTCAGGCAATGGCGACGGTAAAACAAATGATCTCCTCTCCCTCCCCTACTCATTGCTCGACCATCCCCCGCACTCTACTTTTCGCTTCCTCCCAGGCCGGCCAAAATACCAGTGCATACCTCTCTCCCACCCCTCTGCCCCCATCCTTTCCACCATCTGTACAAGTTTCGTTCTGTCGGTTTCGGTTTTTCCCTTTCTCACCTACACGTTCTCGCCCCCCTTCCTCCTCTCTTACTCTCGTCTCTCCCCCTTTTTTCTCACTTTCCCCTTACTCCCTCTTCCGTGCTAAGCCTCTAGTGCCTGCAGTCCACCTCTCCGACGTCCTTTCCTATACGCCCCTTCTAAATCCATTCCTAAACTTCTCCTTACTTGTTGCATATTACACATACATCCTAACCACTTTCCATGACCGCTCTACCCCCTTCCTTTCCTTTCTTCACGACTTTTCCCCAGCCAGTACGCCCGTGCTTACCCCATCCCTCCACCCCCAGCCTTTCCAACCCTTATACTGGCTTCTTTTCGCTCGAATCTGTTTCCACAACGTTTCTCCATCCCTTAATTTCCCTCTCCCGCCTGCACGATATATCTCTCTCCCCTTCCTCTTCCCTTGCTCTCTCCCTCCTTTTTCCTCTCTCTTTCTCTCTCTCCCCCCTTTCCTCTAATGACTCTCATTCGTTTTCCATCCCAAATCTCTACCTCCACTCTAATCGCACTTCTACCACTCCCCCCCAATGCGTCCAAACTTAATCCATGTACTTCCCCTTGCTCACTGTTAACTTTGCACCCTGTTGCCTCTCGCCTTCGCCTGCGTTGCACTTTCTCTTCCCTTCTGCTCCCTCTGCCATTAGTGCCACTATTTTTCTTCGCACGTACTGATCATTCTCCCCACCTCTCCACCCCCTCCTATAACTATCTTCGTGACTTCTCACCTACCAATACGCCCGCGCCAAAACCTCTCACCACCCCCTCCCCCCACCCCTCCGCCCCCTTCCTTTCCGCCCTTTATACTGGTTTCCCTTTTCGCTCTATATCCTTTTTCCCTCTCACTCGTCCGCGCGCTCTCTTCTCTTCCTCATTCATTCTTACCCTTTCACTTTTTCCCTAGTTTTTTTCCCGTCCCAACTCTCTACTTACATACTATTCTCCGCTACGCTTCGCAACCTCTTTCAATACGACCGTACTATACCCATTTCTTCCCATACAATTGCTCCCCATAGCCTATGTCTGTCTTTGCTTTTTTGCTCTCCCACCTCTTCACTTACACGGTCTCTCTCCCCCGGTCGTTCTCCACTACTTATGTCACGATGAGCCTCGCTCCCACCCCTCCACCCCCATCCTTTCCTCCCTATACGTGAGTTTCTTTCCTCTTCCTTCTCCCTTACTCCCCCCCTTTTTTTGAACGGGTGAAGATCTGACAAGGCTATCAGGTAAGACACCTTTTTATGAATGATCCGTTGTGAAACTTTCTGCCGACCTTCAAAAGCTTACCCCCAGGATTTCATGTGCGGTAGGCGGTTGTTGAAGACATGTTGCAGTTTCACGTCCTGCATACTTTCCAAAGAACCCTAAACCCAATTGTGAGGTTTCTCAATGTTTAATCCAGAAGACGGACACCTTACTACGCTTAAAACTGTGCATAACCCATAAACGAAACTATGGGATACAACCGCTCCTGCACCGTCATGCTACTCTTTCGTCTACTTTTTACTCCTGACTGCCTTCTGTACCCATCATTCACCCAACCTTGTTCCCTATGCCTAAAACGAACCCTTGGTCACACGTAGATTTAGCTCGAAGAACAGCTAACCCCCTTGCCGTCTTCAACCCTCTTCACTAGCTCCTCCCTCCTCTCTCTCACACCAGCATCCTCACCCGTTCCCTCTTCCCTCTCTTCTCGCCCTCTCTTTCTCGCCCCTGCTCGTTTTTTCGCCTCCCCTCCCCCCCTCTCTCTCCCACGGCTCTTCCTTCCTCACTCTATCCCCCTCCTCCCACCCTCTCTCTTTCTTCCATTGACTGTCTCTCACGCTCGTAGTCGCTCACACACTCTCTCCTGTTGCTTCCTCCTCGCCCGTTCTTTTGTTCTTTTTCACACACACTCCTCCTCTCCCTCGCTCCGTGTCTTCTCTTTCTTCCCTCTCCCACCTCCCTCTCTTCCTCTCCTTCTCTCTCTCACTCTCTTGCCCTCCCTCTCGCTCTCCCTTTCTCCCTCCCCTTCTCCCCTCCCCCCTTCTCCCCCTCGCACTCTCCCCCTCTTTTTCTCTCTCTCCAATCAGTGGTCCCCTCTCGTGCCCCCTCTCTCCCCCCCTCTTCCTCTTTCTCTTTCCCTCCTCTTGTTCCCCCGCAC